TTAAAAATGCGAGCGATGCCACTCCACATCTGTTAGAGTGGCTTCTTAGGAAAACTGACAGTATCAGTTGCTGGCCAAGATGTGGAACAGCTAGAACTCCCATCCACTGCTTGTGGGAATGTAAAATGGTACAGAGACTCTGGGAAAGACTGCAGCAGTTTCTTATAAAGCCATGCATACAGTTAGCATGTGGTCCAGCAGTATACACACTGTACTCACATGAAAACATAAGAAGTAATTACAGGGGATTTATGCAGAACCAAAGTGGAAATAATCAAGATGCCCCTCATCTCGTGATTGGATAGACTCAGTGGTACATACACACAGTGTACTGTCTCGGCTACAAAAGGGAACGAACTATTGATATGTGTGTTATGCTATTGAAATATAACCCAGAAGTCTCACACTATATATAATTTTCTTTTTTCCCCACATTTTTATTAGTGCATGTGGGTTATACAGATTTGTCCATGCGGATACACTTTATTCACCCCCATGCCTTTGTTTTGTATGTTTTCAGAGGAATGATTTTCTTTATGTGACACCCTTTAAAAGGCAAAATTATAAGAAGACACAGTGATAGTGGAGGAAGATTGGAGAGGGGGAGGAAAATGGAAATAAATGGGCAGCGTGAGAGAATTTTTTCAGTGACTAAACTGTGCTGTACCTTTTTTTGTGGGGAGACAGGGTCTCACTATGTAGTTCAGGCTGGCCTTGAACTCACAACAATCCTCCTACCTCAGCCTCTCCTGAGTGCTGGGATTACAGGTGTGCACCACCACACCTGGCTTTTTCTGTATATTAATTGTGGTGGTGGTTGTAGAACTGCATGCATCTGACCAGTCTCAAAGACTAGAACAAAACAGTTATTTTCCTGTAGTTAAGAAAGTGAATAAATCTACCCTCTACTAGATAGGTATATGAGCTACAATGATCCCTCAGAACCAGTCTTACTAGAAAAGTACAATACTCCATCAATTTTAGATATTTTTAAATTTTGCTCAATAATGATAAACATCGACAGTACTATATTCCAAAATGTCCTTACACCTCCTGGTCTGCTTCATATTTGTAATTTTTTTCAAATTGTAAATTCTGAAGCTTGAGGGAAATTGAAGTATATGAAAATGATAAACTTATTCCAGAGTTTTCACTGAGTTTTCAGAGAGGCTCACTTGTTACTGAAAGCTTCAGCCCACGATAGGAAGAATTTGCCAGGTGAAACAGCTTTTGCTTTTACAAAGTTGTGGGAGACAAAAGGAACGTTTTTTTCCTTGGAATGAGCAACTAGGAGAGTTTTCTTGAATTGAGTTAAAGTCAAGTGAGAAAACCCTTAGACTTTGGAGTCTCGAGTATTAACCTTTCCTCTCCTTCATCAGCTGTTTATGTGACTGAGGGCAAGTTATTCAGCATTCCCAAACTTCATTTTCTTTCAGCAGCTTTAAATTTGGGTGATCATACATACTTTTCTGAGAGTTGTTCAGGAGAACAAAATATATAAAGCTCCCAAGCTGGGCATACCTATAATCCTGGCACTCTGGGAGACCGAGGCATGCAGCTCACAAGTTGGAGCTCAGTCTGGGCAATTTAGTAATTTAGTGAGACCTTGTCTCAAAATTAAAAATTAAGAAGGCGTTGGAAATGTAGCTCAGTGAGAAAGCCCTCTGTTCAATTCCCGGTACCACCAAAGGGGAAAGAAAAAGAGTTTCCAGGACACTAGCATGTTGGAGGTGATCAGTAAATACTGTTTTCTTTTTCCTGTGTTCACTTCTCAACCTCTTGTGACCTCTCCTTTTAGTGCATGAGCCTGTGAAGGAGCTACAGAACCAAAACATGTGCGGTCTCACTGAAGTTTAAACACAGGCGTGAAGCCTGGGAGTAGCGAGGGGGCAGTCTTGCCTTGTTTCAGACCGGAGGGCCAAGATACCTGGTTTCTTACCCACTGGGTTTGATGCAGGGTATAAATTCAGTTCCCGTTGATCGATCTTCAGTTGATCTTTCCTCAGTGGACTCTTTGCTCCGTCATTTCCATGCTCCTGTTGAGTCTGTGCAGGTCCGTGTGTGTGTATTTCAGTAATTGTATTTATCATTTTCCATTTGGTTCTTAATTATATTTTCTTTGCTGAACGTTTTCATTTTTCATTTGTTTCAAGACTATTCATTGCTTCTTTGAACATGTTTATAATACCCGCATTAAAATCTTTGTTAGATAATTCTAACATCTGTGTAATATTGTGACTGGTGAATAAGGCATTTTTTTCATTCCGAGTAATTTTGGATATTGTGTTGTAAAGCTTGGGGTCTTATTTAAATTCTATAGAGATTTGGGAGAGTACTAGAAATTAAACCCAGGGTTCCCCCCAGCCAAGGAAGCCCTACCACTGAGCTACATCCCTACTCTATCGCTCCTTTTTATCATTTTTAGACAGTGTCTTGCTAAATTGTCTAGGCTGGGCTTGAACTCATAATCCTTCTGCCTTAGCCTCCCAGAATGCTGGCATTATAGACATATGCTATCACGCCCACTGAACCCAGGTCCTTGAACGTGCTAGGGCCTGCTTTCACACTAGCACATCATAGGCAACCCAGTTAGGTGTCAGGCTGCAGCTTGCCTTGTATGGACTGCGGTTCTGATACAGGATAAGTACTCTTATCTGAAATGCTTGGAGCCGGAAGTTTTTTTAAAGATTTTGATTTTTTTTAAACTTTGGAATATTTGCATATTCGTAATGAGACATCCTGCATAGAGGACTCAAGTCTAAAGATAAAACTTACTTATGTTTCATACTACACCTTATATACACATTGTCTAAAAGTAAATTTATAAAATATTTTTACTGCACCTCTGTTTTGCCTACAACCCATTACACTGAGGTCAGGAGTGGATTTTACCACTTGTATCACATCTGCACTCAAAAAGTTCCAGATTTTGCAGAATTAAATTTTTGGATTAAAGGTGCTCAAGCTGTACAGTCTAGTTTTGAAAACCATAAAAATGCCATACTGTGTATGCACCACCCATTAGTCAGTTTAGAAACTGGGAAGTGGCCTCTCCATTGGTTCCGTTCTGAAAATCTTTGATGTGCTAAATAGCACCAGATTGTTCCTGTGCAGCTCCAGGATAAGCCCAGACATTCATGAACATATTCTCGGTGTCACTTTCCCAAGCTTCTCCCTCCCTGTGCGTTTGTCAGTGTCTTAGGTCCTTGGAGCTCTCCTTTCTGGACCTGTAGTTCTTCGACTATTCTGCTTTGTCTCGTATTGTGTCTCACTTGAATCTAGGATCAAATGGAGGAGGGAGGGAGAGTGAACGAATGAGTGCGACTGAATGAACACAAGAGGGGCGCTGGCTCCGTGTTTCTGGAATCACAGTTCAGCCACACACGGAGGAAGAGTCCCCTCTGTTTCGGGTGTGGCTCTTTCAGGGCTCCACTGTTGCTGCTTCTGTTCCTACACTACCGTCACCACTGGGCTTCCTGAGACTCCTTTACTCTCTGAGCTAAGAGGTCCCATTCCTGGACCTCAGCCCAGAGCAAGAGGTGCTTTTCTAGAGTTCTACCTGTGCTCCGGCCCTCGCTTGTGGATCTGCCTGTTAAGTTCATACACACAGGTGAGGTTCTTGGAGGAGCCAGAGAGGTTCAGGGATGAGGGTGATCCCTTGCCATTTCAGTGATGCCTTGACTTCTAGTGCTTTTCCCTTGTTACCCTTCCACTGTTTACCTTTCAAAACTTCAGATAAGCTGCTTCATGCATTCTGTCCAGATTTTAAAGTCTCATTCAGTGAGAGGGCCCACGTGTGTGTAGTGTATCTGCTCCATCTTCCCTTAAGCCACACCTTGTCATTCCTTTGAAGAGTACTTGTAACAGTATGCCGTGGAATTACAATGGTAAACTCCTACCATCTTGTCTATTGAAACTCTGTATTATCTCTACTGTTTTATCGAAGAATTATTTTCTTATTCCCTGTAATGGTTTGAGCAATCTTTCATTCTTACATCTGGTAACCTGAGCAATGTAGTTGAGGATAGCGATATGTAATGTAACAACCACTGATGATTCGTATTAGTTGGTCTTGAGGCTCCGTATCACTTTGAATGTTCTTGCTTTGATTTGTTTGTGTTTGTGATACTGGTAAGCTGCTACTGTTCTATTTCTTTATTTGTTTCTCATTTACTACTCTCTTTAAAAAAAAAAGAGTACTTGTAATATTGTCACCACCCCTTCTACTTTTCTAATCTACGACTAATCCCTACTAATGTGTAATTTGAATCATATTTCCACCTTGCCAAAAAATCTTTATTAGCTCTCTGTTGCCTTAGGTTAAGTGCATACTTCTTATTTCAGGACTCAAATTCCCCAAATACATCTCATGTTATAACCAAGAGGGATACTTGCTGATTGACATATAGAGATCTTATTATATACTCAGAGCTTTATGTGTTTCTCTCAGTCTATAACAGCTTCTTAACCTTCCATTTTCTCCCTCTTTAAAGGCTACGCATGTTTTAATGCTTAGGTGCACCACCTTCTTTAAAATTGTTCTAGTTATCTGCCCTGCTCTTACATATGCCCCATTACAATAGTGTGCTTTCTTCAGCCTTTGAAAAGCCTATTTTGTTTGTGCCTTTTCATGACATGTGCATGTATTTTGCATTGGTGGTATTTTTATGTGTAGAGATATAGTAATGGTGTAAGGCCTCAGATAATTAGGCTTCAGAGCCAATAGATATCATGAACATTTAGTGCCTACCATGCCTTTTCTTCACATATTCCGCTGTACAACTCTTCCATACAGTTATTCCAAGTCTCATTCATATGAAGATACCAAGGGTAAGTAAAATCAGATTGTCTTTTCTGCAGTGTCTGTGAGTTTCTGCAGTGTAAGAATTGCAATTTAAAAAAAAAAAAAAAGAATTTCAATTTTCTACCACCTAATAGCTGCCATTCAGTAGTTACTGAAGAAGCACCAAGGGCACTAACTTCTTTTCCTCTTTCTGCAGTACCTTGGCCATGTAGAAGTGGATGAGTCGAGAGGAATGCACATCTGTGAAGAAGCTGTGAAAAGACTGAAAGCTGTATGTATCTGATAGTTGCCAGTACTGACCTGTGTGCTAGCCGTACTGTTCACAGATCGTGTTCAGTAAATTTTAGTAGTCCAGTACCAGCAAGAGCAGCGTTTCTCCTAAGGCTAGGGATGTGTTGTCCCACCTCCTCAATTTTGGCCAAACATTATCCAAAATGTGCTTTCGCAATTTATATGAAGTAAGTGGTCTGAAATCTGACAGAATAATATTCTAATATTAGGGTAAAACCATTACAATTACTACCTTAACCTAAGATAAACAGGTTATATATTGCTGATATTAAATCTCCTGTAGAAAACAACATTCCAAAACAAGCAGGAGATGTGTTGATGCCTGATAATGTTTCTGGGTTGGGGGTCTTTTCACTATTATTCTGATGCTTGCTTCCTGGTTTTCTTCTCCACACTCCTGTAGCATAAGCAAATTTCCATTGCCTGTTACGTGAACTGTAGCGCACTTGGACTAGACAGCCACGGTCCAGGCTCGTATTCCTTGGCCTGTTATGCCATAGAACACATCCAAGGCACATGTCTGTGTGCCTAACAAAAGGAAGGAATGGTCTCACAGTTCATGAAGGTCCAAATGAAAGTGCTAGTTTCATACTTTCATAGGCTGAAGGAATGTTCCATAGATTGTGACAGCCGTCCTCAAATCTTCCTTCTCTCCAGTACATGGCCTGTCCCCACTTTGCTGCAAAAAGCTTTAAGCATTACTTCTGCATGCCCTTGCCCCAAGCAGCATTAAATACATGTTGCTTTGGGTTTGCTGGTGTGGTGGGCTGCCACAAGTCTGACTACTAATGAGTGCTTTACTTCTCAGTTTGCTTGATAACTAAACTGTTGTGTTTATTGGTATACTCCAGGGACGGCAAACCTTTTAGAGCTTTCACTGGTACAAACAGCCCACTGCGGTGTATGTGCCATAGGTTCGCCACCACTGGTACAGTCTCTATTACCTCTTATCTATAATCCATTAACATAAAGTGTATACAATTTTTTAAAATCTGAGAGGTAAATTTTATTTTGAAACAAATACCTGAATCTGTTGTAGAAAGAAAAGGCAGAGAAAATAACTGGTAGTCGCATATGAAGACTAAATAATAGCAATGTCCTAAGTACACACAAGTACGTATACCTACTTTCGTGTATGCCTGTGTATGTGCTTTACCTCGTAGTTTAGTCATTTGAATTCAGGGTTTGGTTTGGTTTGTTTAAAAAGTTGTTTTAGTTTTCTTTTTTCCCTGTACTGGGGATTGAACCCAGGGCCTTGCATTTACCTACACCCAGCCCTTTTTATTTTTTGAGACAAATTCACCATCCTCCTGCCTCAGCCACCTGAGTACCTGGGATTACAACATGCACTACGACGTCTAACTAAATTCTTAAATTATGAAGCCCTTCCTCGTTTTTGTTTGTTTGTTTGTTTTTTGTTTTTTTTTTCCGGTACCAGGAATTGAACTCACAACCTTGCACTTGCCAGGCAGGCGCTGTGCCACTGAGCTAAATCCCCAGCCCTCCTTCCTCGTTTTTATGTCCTCTCTAGTTCATCCATAACGTTGAGAGGACTAATATCCATGTAATATTGTACATGAAACTGTCACTGATAGATTTGCCATGTTACCTGAATAGATTTCCCAATTAAATACAGACTCAGATAATTTAATTTTCCATTTTTACCAAACCAGTTTAAAAGAAAACATTTCAATTTCTTTTTCTACAAAATAATTTTTAGTTTGCCTAGAAGAATAATAAGATGAGTTTAAGAGCACCTTAACGTTGGATATGGTGGCACATGCCTGTAATCCCAGCTACGTGAGAAGCTGAGGCAGGAGGATCACAAATTCAAAGTCAGCCCTGGCAATTTAGTGAGACCCTGTCTTAAAACCGAATGGGGTAAGAGATATAGTTCAGCTCTCCCTGGGTCCCGCCCCCAGTACCACAGAAAAAGAAGAAAAAAAAAAGATGTTAATCCAATGACGTGTCCTACTTAAAGACTATTCTTTAACACCTATTACTAATGACTAAAAACAACAGACCAGTGAACAGGTTAGGTGGACCTGGAGCAGACCACAGATGATGAGTAAAAGCCTTGCAGCTCACGTGACAGGGCTGAGGGCCACTGAGGGGTAAGTCCAGAGAACGCTCTCCTTGGGAGTGCGGCCTTGTGTTCATTCTCTAAGTAAGGGCAGACTAGGTGGCTTAAATCTGTCCAGAAGATTTTGAGAAATGCTGTTTAGTTGTTTGATGAGGACTCGGTCCTCTTAATTGTTCTGTTTTTGTTTGTGGTGCTGGCTCAAACCCAGGGCCTCACACGTGCCAAGCAGGCCCTCTGCCACCGGGCTGCACCCTCAGCCGAACTGAGTAGTTCTTTAATTTTTCTTTTAACTAGAAACATCTTTTTTATGTAGGCAGTATATTATGTAATATACAAATGAACCCAAAAACGTATAAGAAGTACCCTTTTTTCCCGTTTTTTTCTTTTCCGTTAGCACGTGCTTGCAGTACACAGTGAGTACATTTCCTGTGGGGAGCTGCACACATGCGTAGTACATCTTAGTTTTCTTCACCCTCCGCTCCCCGCCATCTCTTGGTCCCCTTCCATTTTGCAAAAAATCTTAACTAGAATCTTTTGGGATTCCAGATAGGTAGTACTTAACCATCCAGTTTCAAAACTAATTTTTGATTGAGTGGATTTTTTTGTTACTTTAACTTTTTACTTTTTTAACCGAGAAGATTATTAATTATAAGCGTGTTTGTTTGAGGCATAGGACTATTTAGATACAATTTAATGAGTTTTTGTGTCATCAGAAATAGGAACTAAATTGCCAGTTTTTAAACATTTTGTTTTGCTTTTAAATTTCGCAATCAAACCCAGGACCTTGGGCATCCTAGGCAGGTACCCTCCCACTGAGCCACACCTCCAGCCCCTTTTTACTCTTCATTTCCATTTTAAAATTATACATAGACCTAGAACTGTATTTGGCACATCGTAGCTAATCAGAAGCTCTTTCTGGAACACATAGTGTTGGGTCTGGTACTCAGTATGAGGTCAGATTAAATCCTAAAGTACTACAATTGTCAAATCTTATGTATAATTTTTAAAGTTTAGAAAACCATTTTACATATCTCTATAGATCTTATTTCCCTGTGGTCTTGTATGACTAAAAAAGATAGACAGATAATAGATAGGATTATAGGTAGACGTATAGATATGTATGGATGATTGCTTTTTTGGACATACTTAAACTTTTGAACTTTGAGGGGAAATTGACCACTTCTGAGCTGTCATTAAGAAGTTACTTAAAAACTGGCAGACAAAACCTATCCCGGAGAAGAGACTGGGATCACGTGTATATATATCCTTGTACATACATCTCTGCACGGCAGACATGTATTACTAAAAATGCAGCTGAGTTGTTGGAGGATGGGGTAGACTTCCTGTTTATTGTGCTCAATGAAACTTCACCTTCTAGAAATACCCTTTCTTGTGCTATACTGAGAGCCTTGAAGCAAGCTGGAAGTCTCCAGGGTGTCGTTCTTCTGGGATAATTCTAGATTCATAGGTTATAATTTTGGTCTTCTCTCACATTTTTACTATGTAGAAATATCTAGGTGTCATTTTCCCCCCTTGCCCTAACGTTCTTCTAACAAAAATCCCTGAGGATCTACAGTGTGCTGTGTGAGTTACTAAAATTGTGCCAACTGCTGTGTCTCCGGAGGTCTTTATTGGCTTGATTTTAATCATAAAGCTTCCTTTTAAAATTTCTTAAAGGAAGCAAATATAAGGGTGCATAAGCCTACAGAAATAGAACACCTTTGGAATTAACTTGAATGTCGAAGTTTTAAAATTTAAAGAATTATACAGTTAAGTAGCAAACCAAATATTTTAAACTTATATGAATGACCTTTATAAACGTTTAACATTTCTAGTAATTTTTAAATTTGTGGAGAATTGAGGAAAAAAAAAATTTCCAAGTATAGCTGAGGGGAGTGGTTTTTTTCCCCCAAAGTGTAGTCCCTTAAAATTTAGAATTACTTTAACCTACCTGGAAGCCATATGCATATTTCATATTCTCAAATGAAAAATATGCCCTCACTAAATAAGATATGCTCCTAAGAGCATAAATATATTTTTAAAATTCTTACACTGTCTATACATAGTATTAGTTGTAGCTATTTTCAACACATTTCCTTTGTGACATAATTTCACTAATCAGCTACTACAGGATTTAGATTATATAAGATGAACGACAGAAGTGACTCTTGCCCATTTTTGTTACCTATGTGGCATAGTCACTTGCGGAGTGAGGAACATTGTTATTTATCAGTGGGCTTTGTAAATATTATTTCAAGCCTTTAGTTATCCTTGTTTTGCTCTGGTCCAAAATGCCCTTCCTTATAAAAGGTCATTTCTTCCCATCGTCTCTTAAGTGTCCCTCCCTCTGCCTTGGTTTTAGACTAGTTTCATTATACTGTCAGTTTCTAATATGTTGGGTTTTATTCACTATTTGATATATTTGTTTTAATGTATGTTCTTGTTTTAGCAGGTAAAAGAATCATAACTTAATTTTAAAAAAACATTAATATTCTCTAATAACTTTTTATGCATTTTGCATGTCAACTTTTTTCATTAACATCTGGGATCTAAGAAGAGGGTTCCATACTTAACAAGAGCTTTTCTAGGAGCTGTATTAAATATTAACAGATCTCCTTCCCTGCCCTTCCTATCCCTCAAGAATGGTGACTCTTTTAACTTTGGCTGCATCCTTGAAAGCTGTTGGTTACTCATGGTTTATTAAAACTAGGGCCACCAAACTTGGCAGCAGAAATAGCCTTAGTCTTACTGTCACAACTGCCCCAGTTATGTTATTATTCTTTAAGTTCAGAATATCTTGATGCTGTTTGTGACTTCTATTCATTAAGGGGAGAAAGAAGTTCCAGTATTTGGAAATATTGAATGAGTTTACAAATTGTCTCAGAGTCAAACTTCAAAACAGTTGTCTTTTCCTCGAGACTTATCCAAAAGTAAAAATTTGATAATTATAAAAAAGTAATGGCTTACCTACAGTTCATCCCAAGTAGGAAATGTAAAGTTAAGCTAGGCTGGGTAAGTTAGAGCCCATCTGCTTTTCATAAATTCTTCAGAGCTTAATTAGTGGCTGGCTTTTATAAACAGTGCTTTAAAATTGGTGGTAGAACCATAAATAACTATGCTTCTCTTTCTAGATAGTTTCAGAACTGCATGTTTTTAAGTGTTAGTGCACATCTCTTTATTTTAAAACAACAGCATTTAAAAAGAAAAGCTGGGTGTGATGGTGCCTGCCTTTAATCCCTTGCTTCCCTGGAGGTTGAGACAAGGTGATCACAAATTCAAGGCCAGCCTAGGCAATTTAAAGAGATCCTGCCTCATCCAGTGAGGTGGCACGTATCTGTAGTCCCAGCACTTGGGAGACTGAGGCAGGAGGATCACTGTCATTTCCAGGCCAGCCTGAGCTCCAAAGTGAGTTCAAAGCCAGCCTGAATGCATAATGAGACCCTGTCTCAAAAATACAAAAAAGAGAGAGAGAGAGAATGAGATTGAGATTGAGGAAGACAGCCTGTCTCAAAATTAAATAAAAAGGGTTGAATGTGTCTTAGCCAAGTCCACATGTCACTTGGGTGTAGAAATGCTTGCCTAGCGTGCATGAGGCCCTTGGTTAAATCCTCCTGCCAATGGGGGTAGAGGGTTTAGCAAGAAAACAAAACCCTGATTCTTAAACATTGTCTGTGGCCTGCAGACATGGTTTGGTTCTCAGATGTGTTTTCTCAGCTCCAGTGTAAATCTTAGCATTGTGTTTTTTATAGGTAATTTATTTTATGCCTGGAATAAAACATATCTGTTATTTCCCTGTGTATGCTGTGGAATTAGTCAGCACACAAATATAAATTAATAGTAATGCATAAGGAAATAGGAAGCCAGTGGTTAAGCTCTCCTTCAGTAGAATGGGCTTCTCTAGGGGACATCTTGAACTCAGTAACAGAAATGTTACAAGAACTGTTGACACATGCTCACAATTTAACTTTGTGTGCTGCACCTTCACTTGGTGGGGGGGGGTTGGACCTAGGACCTCGCACATGCTAGGTCAGAGCTTCCCCACTGCAGTCCTTTCCCAGACCTCTTGCAGTTTTTACGTGATTGTGTAGTCATTTGAATTTTAGTTGATAACTAAACTTAGTCGGCCATGGTTGACCACTAATTTTTTTTTGTTTTGTTTTGTTGTTTTGTTTTTCTCCAGTACTGGGAACCGAACTCAGGACCCTGCGCTTGCCAGGCAGGCGCTTTGCCGCTGAGCTAAATCCCCAGCCCTGACCACTAATTTTTTAAAAAATTATTTTTAAAGAGAAGCTTCTTACACGTTGCTCAGGCTTGCCCTGGAGCGTCAGACGCAGGTGACTTTCCTGCTTTACCTTCCTAGTAGCTGGGCTGTAGGCACTCGCCATTGCACCTGACCGCCGCTGATGTTAAGTTGAGAAGTGTGTGTGGAGCCAGTCTTCTGTTTATTCCTCACGGCTGTGAATTTCAAATGCAGATCATACCCAACAGTGCACCCGAGTCTTTTCTCTGCTGCCAAATTTGGATAATCTCTGTTTTAAAAGTAAATAGAGATTACTAAATCAGTTGCATGAATACAGGTTCTGACTTCTTCTCTTTCCATGGATTCCTAGGCCACACATTGTGTTTCCCTGCATTTTCATGCACCGCCCTTCCTCCTTGTCACTCCTGGTATGGATAACTCTTTAAACCCTCACTCCCTACCTTTTCCCACTCTGCCGTTCCCTACTTCTGTGTGTGCTTATTGATGTGAACCCTGGGACACTTAGCCCATACAATAATAGCACTCGACTTGTCCCCCTGTTCCTCCAGGAAAGGAAGTTCTTCAAAGGCTTCTTTGGAAAAGTAAGTTTGATGCCATGTTCATGCTTGCTGTATAAGGAGTTACACCCCTAGTATAGCACTGACATACTTTTAAAAAAGTATAGTTTTGGCTTCTTTATAAAACAGGAATTGATTTGACTGTATATAGAAATTAATGAATCAGATAGTTGCTATTTATGTTATTACCTATGTATCTTTGATACTAAATCTAATGATTTCTAGGAGAATCCAATAATGAATCAAAAGTTCAAAGGACTATCTCTTCAGCACTAGGTATTAAATTTTATTTGATCTTGCAAAATTGTTTGTGTTAGCTGTATTTTAACTGGTAGATTTTACTTATTGTCCAATATTGATAGAGAAATGGGAAGAAATATTAAATTCAAGTAAAAATTTAAGATACCCCAAGTGTAGCACTCAATGTTATTACTTTTCCCATCTCAGTTAAATTTGAGGTGAATCAGTGAAAGTATATGAACTTACATTCGAGGATCCTTCTGATTTTTAACCTAAATTGCTAATCTAAGAAAATCTTAATATTAGTCTACCAAGTATCTGTCACATGGAAGGTTGTTTATGTAAATGCTTTCCTAATAAAAATTGCTTAATGTTCAAATATCCTTAAAATTAAGGGAATGAGGGCCAGGGATATAGCTCAGTGGTAGAGTGCTTGTCTAACATGCACAAAACCCTGGGTTAAATCCCCAGCATATCCCGCCCCCCCCCAAAAAAAAAGAAGGAAAGAAAAAAGAAATGCTTAGGATGGCAGTACCCAAACAGGTAAATACATTTTTGTTTCCAAGTTTATCATTTTGTAGTTTTGAATAAGTGCTACAAAGTAATCTCACCGGGAATGTGCTTTTACGTGAAAAACTTTAATTTGAAGCCTTTCGGTGTTTTCGGTTGCCATCAATTTACCCTCACGCTAGTCTGCAAGAAATAGGCTGGCGCAGAAAGAGGCTTGATTTGAGTGTGCTGGGTCAGCTGTAGAACATAGAGAACCTCATAAAGTAGCACAAGACAGGGTTTCTCCCGTGGCTGTGGCGCCCCGCACCTAGAAGGAAGGAGAAGTGCAAATTCAGCCCAGGCTGGGCACCTTAGTGACTTACGAGGTGCTGTTTCAGAGGTTCAATCCACAGTAACAAGGAGAGAAAATAAATTTTTATCTAGAAATGGTTACATGGGTAAGGTGATAGCCTTAGCCCTGATTGTGAGTGTATGAATCGTGGCCAGGATTCTTCGCTTCCTCTTGTCCGTTAGTCACCGCCTGCGTCCGTCCTCCATGGGCAGCGTTTCCAGAAACTAGCTGTAGGGAACAACCAGCCTGGTCTGTTAGAGAATTGTGTTAGAAACATCTTAAAAGGGAGAGAAAAATGAGGGCCTCAGAAAAGTTTTTCCAAACTGGCTACATAAAACTGTTCGTTGCCTTAGGAAAGCCAGTAGTGACTCAGCTTTTTAGAGATTATACAAGTGGCTTTGCCAGGTTTCGTACTCTATAACCCCAGCGCTCAGGAGGCTGAGGCAGGGGCATCAGTGCAAATTCAGGGCCAGGCTGGGCTACGCTGTGAGTTCAAGGCCAGCCTGAACTACATAGTGAGACCCTGTCTCAAAATAAAGTGGCTTCATTAATGTAAAGTGATCATACTAAGCAAATGCTTTATTACCGGGTATTACATGGCATTTCACGTTTGAAAAGGATTTACAATTTTAACATATTTGAGAAACCCTATGACCTGAGTAATCTGTATTCTCACTTTATGAGGGAACTGACTCAGCATAGAAGATAAAATGTTCTTATGTTACTCTATTAGGTCCCTTTTAAAAGCTGTTTACGGGGCTGGGGATTTAGCTCAGCGGCAAAAGCGCCTGCCTGGCAAGCGCAAGGTCGTGAGTTCGGTTCCCAGTACCGGAGAAAAACCAAAACCAAAAAAATAAAAAAATAAAAAAATAAAAGCTGTTTACTTGTAGGTAGATCAAGCTTTATAGTTTATGATATGCTTTGTTCTACTTTCTGATTTACTGCTTACAACAGCTCAGTGAATTAGACAGTGGTTCATAACAATGCATTTTACAAAAGAATAAACAAGCTCAAAAAGGTCATCCAGCTAGGAGTAAATGGCAGCACTTACCCCAAAATCTGGCCTTTCTGAAACTTGGTGCAAGGTTCTTTCACCTACCCCATGTTGCCGTTCTTTCGTTCAGAAGTGCTGACCTCTGCTGAGGTATGCCTTAGTTAGAGCAAGCGGAGAAACCGCTGGCAGAAAGGATGCCGGACAACTCCAGGACCTGGACACTTCCTAAACATACGCTGTGTGGGCGGCAGCGTTTACAAATTTGAACTAGTTGCAGATACTTAAAAGTATTGAGGATTTCACATATAAAAACTAGAACATCTAAAGAATTAGAAAACTTAGTAAAACAGCATGCTTGCTGAGGGACACCAGCGGCTTAGCTGAGTATCAGCTGTGCCTCTGGGTTGCGTGTTCACCACAGTGCCTGCAACTTCCTGTTGTCCCTGCAACTTCCTGTTGTCCCTGCACTCACACCACTTCATTGTATCACCTGCCTGTAACACTGCAGGCGTTTGCGTTTGTGCGCCCCTCCCTGGGCGAGTATGTCAATCCTAATGGTATAAAAAATCGATAAAAATGTTACAGTTCTTGTTCTAGCAGATCCTGTTAAAGTATTGCCAATTTTTTTCAAGTTTGTATGCTTCTGTAATTATTAGACGGCACCACTAGAAATGGTTAGGTTTTAATGAATTCATGGTCAAAAAATAATGCATGGTTATACTATTTTTACCTAATACTCTCTTTTTTTTTTTTGTACCGGAAATTGAACTCAGGACCTTGCACTTGCCAAGCAGGCACTGTGCCACTGAGCTACCTCCCTGGCCCTTTACCTAATATTTAAGAGTAAAACATTTTGTGGTATTTGTGACCACTCTTAAATCAGTATATTTACATCTACATTCTACTTTAAATTTCCTTTTTTTTTTTTTTTTTTTTTTAATGCTTCTGTGACAAATTGTCCTTACTGTTTTTCTTCACTCTGGATCATTTTCTTAAAAGTAGAGGCATATCTGCTACCTTTTCTCTTTTCTTCCTTCCGTGTAAATTCCCATTACCCTCCTTGTATAAGTTTTATCTTCTCTAATATTTTACTAGATGGTTTTTTTTAGGATTTGGTTTATTATGACAAGCAGGGGAGTGAAAAGGCAAGATTTGTCCATACGCAACATAAACGAGAGGTCAGTTTTTTAAGAAAAGTGAACAGCCTTTTTTCTTAACCCGATTATTCTCTGGTTTTTAGATGACTATTTCATGCCTCCTTTTTCCTTAAACCCCCAGAGTTTCTTTCTTTGTTCTTTCTTTCAGCTTTCTTCCTACTTCACGAAGAACATTAAACCAATTAGAAGGGGGAAAAAACCAGTTAGAAGGAAACTCACATGTGTCGTCCGCCACATCCACTCAGCTACTCTGTGCCCATGTGCTCCATTTCCCTCCTATTCATAGGATGACCAATCTGTGGTCCACTCAGGAAAGTGTAGGTTGCCTATAATCCCAGCACTCTGGGAGGCTGAGACAGGAGGATCACAAGTTTAGGCCCAGCCTGGGCAATTTAGCAAGACCTTGTTTCAGATTTTAAAAATAAAAAAATTAATTTTTAAAGTTAGGGATGTAGCTCGGTACAAAGGTCCAATGTTTAGTCCCCCAGCACTGGAAAAAAGGGCTGGTAGGAAATATGCCTCACTGTTCCAAACTGAAAGCTACTATACTTTTAATAAAGCGGCCACTAGAGTGTCAGTCTCAAATCCTAAAGACAGCTGTGCTTCTATCCCTTCAGTGCATTGGGGAATACAGTGCTCACTGTATTTGCTCATTACTTCTTGATTCAGTTCAGAAATTCAAATACTAAATTATAGACTTCAAGGCTTTTCTCCTCAAGTTTAAAACAAAGCTGAAGCCACGTTCCCTGTGAAAGAAGTCTCTTGTTGGGTTAGCACAAGGCACGCTGTGTCTTGGTTGCCTGGCTGGTCGCTGTTATTCTGTAATGATTGGGTTATCTCTGTGTGTAGGTGTGACAGAAAGCCTGAGCAGCGGTTCTTTACACATTGGGTACCCTTGAAGACCTCTTTGGTTTGTAGCTGAAAGAACTTTGCACAGTGAAAATGCAAATCATTGTTGCCTAGAAAAAGTGACTTGCTCTGCGCCTCCGACCCAGTTGGTCTGTTTGATGCTGTTGCTTCCAAGTAGTCATAGTATGCCAGTCGTGCTTCCTTTGTCTCTCGCATCTCTGCGCTCTGGCTTACATTCGCACATCGGCTTAACCTCCTGCTCCTGTCTCTCGTAGGCCCAGCATAACTGTCTTGCCTTTAAAATATCACCTCTATTTATGCTGGTTAATTGCATGTTCTTATCTCTTAGTAGTCTTGGAAATAGAATTTTTAGTTTGGACGGAACCTAAGATGTGAGTCACACTAAAATAATAGCCAAAAATATATTTGTCAAAAGGAGGGGACAAAATTCAGGGACAGGATTTCATATAGGTGCAATTTTTCAATGTGATGAATTATCTTTCAAAACATAGTTAATGATAACTTTAGAGATCATAATATTGGCAGACTATGTTCCACTATTTGTTTTTTAAAATAAAGTTTTATTGGAACAAGGCCATGTCCATTTGTTTACCGATTTTCTGCATCTGCTTTTGTGCTATATTGATAGAGGTATTTGAGTAAAGATTGCATGGCTCTCAAAGGCCCAAATATTTGCTACCTGGCCCTTCATAGAAAATGCTTGCCAGGGGCTGGGGATTTAGCTCAGCGGCAAAAGCGCCTGCCTGGCAAGCGCAAGGTCGTGAGTTCGGTTCCCGGTACCGGAGAAAAAGCAAAAAAAAAAAAAAAAGAAAATTCTTGCCAGAGCCAGGCTTGGTGGTGCTCACCTGTAATCCCAGCACTTGGGAGGCTGAGGCAGGTGAGTCACCGTGAGTTTGAGGCCAACCTGGGTTCCATAGTGAGT